CGGATTATAATGGCATGTGGCACAGGCTAGACCATTTATGGTGGCATTCTTGACACATCTGGACTTGGACAACAGGATCATTTAAATTAGAAAAATAATCAACAGTAGCCTTAGATTTAGATGCATGACTTTATTTAGTTATCCAATGTTTAATAGGCCCAATGAAAACTGGGACTGGGATTCCTGCTGAGTCATATTGTCGAGCCAGGGCAGCAACGAGTTCCATAAATCATGTTCCATCAAAATGTCTAAATGCCAGGAGGATCTCCAGACCCAACCGGGAGTACCTCAACATCCACAGAGGGAAACTCAGCCAAGAGTTTTATAGCCTAAGAAAATCATGTGTGGGAACCTGCTTTTAAGTGGTGCTGATTAGGCTTACTCTATATTTGAACTTGGGAGGACTGCTTTTAAACCAAATAAGTAAATATATTGCTGCAGTAAAGTCAGGCCTGCTAGGTCTACTCATTATAATGTTGAAGTGTTTTTAGTCCATTTACAGAGAGCTGCTGAAGCGTAGCCCACAGGGCACAGACATCAATTCAACGTCTATTCCACGTTGGTTCAACATAATTTCATTGAAATGACGTGGAAACAAATAGATTCAACCAGTGGGAGGTGTTTTTCAGTGAAACAACTAGACAGGCCTTGGCATTCATGCAGTGTCAGGACATGAGGAATACTGTCCCAGCATGCCATGCTGACTCTTTATGAGGCTGTTCAATACAGTCAAATCTATAATTGCTACAATCCTTTCTCCTGCAAGGTCTGTGTGCTCCTCTCATTCCTCTTTCCCTTCGTCTGAGTGTATCTTGTCAGAGAATATTAATTATGTAATTTGGGAAACTCATAACAAAGCACCGTAACGACAGGTTCTTTTCACAGAGTTGCACAGCTAATTTACCATTGATTCATGCACAAGGACAAGAACAAGAATAAGTGCTCGTTGCAATACGAAAAACTTCTTACAGCCCACAAGAAGATCAAACCATTGACAGTAAAGGGGTCTGGATCTAACAACACATGTGGGCTCTCCCTAACCGAGTCTGTAGTACCTACATGTTTCAAGCAGACCACCATAGTCCCTGTGCCCAATAAAGTGAAGGTAGCCTGCCTAAATGACTACCGCCCCGTTCACCCACGACTGTGTGGCCAGGCAACACTATCATTAAGTTTGCTGACAACACAACGGTGAGACCGACAATGAGGAGACAGCCTATAGGGAGGAGGTCAGAGACCTGGTAGTGTTGTGCCAGGACAATAACCTCTCCCTCAACGTGAGCAAGACAAAGTAGATGATCGTGGACTACAGGAAAAGGAGGGCTGAACATTCCACCATTCACATCGACAGGGCTGTAGTGGAGCGGGTCGAGAGTTTCAAGTTCTTTGGTGTCCACATCACCAACAAACTATCATGGTCCAAACACACCAAGAAAGTCGTGAAGAGGGCACGACAACGCCTTTTCCCCCTCAGGAGACTGAAAAGATTTGGCATGGTTGTAAGGGCTGGTGTGAGGTGTGACCCAGGTGCCGTGCAGGATAGACAGTAGGCAGTAGGCAGAGATGGTGAAACAAGGATCTTTACTGGTGGTCCCAAAACCAGGATACAAAATAACGGACTTGTCACGATAAAATAAAGGAGGAGCAAATTGGTCTCCAAAAAGGCTGACAGCAAACATAGGAAATACTAACTACGACTGAAAACAACAATGAAACAGAGAGAACACTTCTCAAGTACCTGTACATACGTCTCGCGATCAGACACTGATTAGTACTGTTTGGCATCGAGAAACTAGCAGAGAAAACAGAGCAAGGGAACACAGGGAAGTGAGGGCATAAATACACAGGTGAACAGTTAGACACAGGTGACACCAATAGGATAATAATTAGTCCAGACTGTGAGTGAGGAGGTGCCTAAGGTTGTCGGAGGATGATACCTAGTGGGTCGCTCTGGAACTGTGACCCCCTCCTGTAACACATGGGTCCCCAGATCTTTACAAAGTTCTACAGCTGCACCATCGAGAGCATTCTGACCGGTTGCATCACCTTGTGGTATAGCAACTGCTCGACATCCAACCGTAAGGCACTACAGAGGGTAGTGTGTACAGCCTAGTACATCACTGGGGCCAAGCTTCTTGCCATCCAGGACCTATATACTAGGCGGCGTCAGAGGAAGGGCCAAGACTGTTCTCTCTGCTACCGCACGGCAAGTGGTACCAGAGCGCCAAGTCTAGGTCCAAAACGCTCCTTAACAGCTTCTACCCCCAAGCCATAAGACTGCTGAACAACTTATCAAATGGCCACCCGGACTATTTACATTGACACCCCACACTGAGCTAAGCACAAGTTCATTAGCAACATCATCTAACACTTACCCATGTAATTAAATACATTTCTGAAATAATGCCCCTAACGATGTGGTTACATCCACTTTGAAGCAAGTTTAGTTCTTACTGTGCTGTAGTACATATTAAAGGAGCGGTTTACTTTTTTTTAACCAAATCTTTTAACCATGTTTTTTGCGATTTTACTTGGTTTTGAGAAACTTACCCCACCAGCAATAGACTTCCTCATTGCTCATTCTGCAATATGGGGGCCATGGATAAACATCAACAAAGGCTCCAAAAACACCCAAATACTTCCTTTTAGAAACGGCAAAGCTCTCAGTATAGTGATGCAGGTCTTTAGATGTTGTACACAGTATAAATAAAGTACTACTTAAGTAGTTTTTTGGGGTATCTGTACATTACTTTACTATTTATATTTTACTTTTCCTCCACTACATTCCTAAAGAAAATATGTACTTTTTACTCCCATAAATTTTCCCTGACACCAAAAAGTGCTCGTTACATTTTGAATGCTTAGACAGGACAGCAGTATGGTCCAATTCACACACCTATCAATATAACGCGTTGTAATTCCTACTGCCTCTGATCTGGCGGACTCACTAAACACAAATACTGCATTTGATTGAGTACTTTTTTCCACCACTGTACTTAAGTACATTTAAAACCAGATACTATTAGACTTTTACGCAAGTAGTATTTTACTGGGTGACTTTTACTTTTACTTGAGTCATTTTTTATTAAGGTATCTTTACTTTTACTCAATTATGACAATTGAGTACTTTTTCCACCACTGGTTTTACACATGAAGTTTCAAATGCCACGTGTAACATGTCCCACCCACTGTAGTCAGCACATTCCCATATCTGCAGTTCTGCACGTTCGTAGTGCTGTCTTATCTATAGAAACTCATAGATAATGGAGAGAAGATTATCTCAGGTATCTTTATGTGCCATACCATCTTCAACTATCTTCCCACGCAGCTGCCTCCCAGTTGAACACTACTGAAATATAAGTGCCCAGGTAGATGTACTGTACTTCAGCCAAGACACAAATGTGACAGTATTGCTATGGAATGCATAATTGAAGCAATTCAACTCCATAATGAGAACACTTTCCTGATATCAGAATTCTACAGTTCCAGGAATTGATTAACATTAATGGTGAGAGCCTTCCATGGGTAGTTTACAAAAGAAGCATGATGTTATTATATATATTTTTTAAATCTCACAATAATTATCCATTATATCCAAATTACAATAGAAATCCTATACAATTGTCTTTGGACTTCCCTTTGCCAACTAAGCCTTCTGTCCTCACCCCTTGAAATTAGAAGACATGGGGAATTCTTTCACTCACCTCTAAGTATATCTCAAAAGAGATGTGTCATCATACCACTGGCACTGCCACTTCAGTTCTGTAGGGGTGAAGAGTGCAAGCCAGGCACAGACAAATGGGGGATTTTTGCGAGAGCATTCAGAGCAATCTCTTTATCTGCAGGATGACTTTACCACCCAATCAAGAGCTGTTTAAGGGCACGTAAAAGGGATGGCCATGGTATAAGATTAGGAATGCTTAAACTTTTGTTGCTATCTTACATGTTCATCAACAATATGGAAGACAAAATCACTTTTGTATGTGACGGTTCTGAAATAGGTTATATCCATGTAGGTGCAAAATCCCTTCAAAGGGGTTGGCCTGAGAGGTTTAACGCAACCCGGACACAGACATAGAATAAAATGGGACAACACAATATCATGAAATATTACACTTTATTATGAATGAAAGTACATCATGCTAAATTCTTCACATTGGAATGATTATTGCCACAGGTATGAACAGCATTATCTTATGTATCCAGTTAACAGAACAGTACTCATATCAATGATATACTGTATGTATAAAATATACAGATATAATATAAAGATATTAATTTCATTTTATTCAAATGAATGATTTATTGAAATGAATCAAACCAATGTAAAATATTTGATTCACAGTACAAGCTCTGGATTAGTCTCTTTTTGCAAGAGATCATCACATTAACATACACAACTTTCCCCTTGGTTTGTAACACCAAATAGTTGTTTTGTGAGATAAGGGAAGGCATTAATGGTGTGTAAATGCTACAGGTGACAGAGACTATATTAGCACTGCATGTGCAAGCAGCCAAAGTGTCAACAGAAGTATAACGATTAAAGGGTAACTTAAGAAGAGAGAGGTGATTTAAGCATGGAACACATTCTGCGTTTCTGAATCTAAATTATATTGTAAAGAAAATCCATTTGACATCCAATCCATTCATCCCTTCAATCATCCCTTCATGTTAACACAGAAACTAGAAGCTGAGGATCTACATAAAAATACATTTCATGAGTGCTCTACAACTAAATCAGTACTCCATGAGCTTCAGTTAGATGTTTAAAACGCTGTAATAACAATAATAATCTGTGGTTCATTTATGTTACAATCAGTCCTTGAGAAATCCTACATCTCATGTTGAAAGTGGCACTCTATTGTAAGTGAACTGCTCAGTGTCAGTGTTTATTGTGTTTGGCACAGGAGAAGTTGGGTTAGTCAGGTCAGTTGGGAGTCATGGAAACTGTCCATCATCCAGTATGTGTTTCAGTGAACTCGAGGTCCTTCCACTTCCTTCTATCCCAGAAGAACTCTCTGCAGCCTGCCGGCCGACACGCCCTTCTCGTCCTCCGACTCAGCGTCGCTCTGCAGGTTGGAGCTGCAGGGAGAGGTGCATTCTGGGGAGCACAGCTAGTGCATGAAGGGTAGCCGATACTTCCCACAGAAGTCCACAAACTTGATGTGCCTCACACGCGAGTCAAAGTACACACCTGAGAGGAAGGAGACAAGTAGCACAACAATATGAGAGCAATAGACATTTCTCAAGGTGTGATTTTATTTACAAAGAGGATTTATGAATATCTTTTATTTGAATTTTTCCTCAAATTATTGAGGAGGACCAGCCTCCTCTTCCTCCCTGGACGAGCCTCCTCTGATCCACTCACAAATACTAGTACATAAGTATGTAACCTAAACTTGTCCCCTCTCCTCCACTTACCGGTACATTTAGGGTTGGGACACTTGCTGGCCAGGTCCAGGTAGTGCACCAGGTTTCCAGGCAGGTAATTGGGGTGGTAGGGCAGGTTGCGGGACTTGATGGTCCGTCCAGCCAGCTCCAACAGGGAGGGAGGGTCGTAAGTCAGGTCCTTGATGAAGCGGACCACCAAGGGGTTGCCGCGGAGACTGAGCTCCTGCAGGTGAACCAGGCTGAGGATCTCCCTTGGTAGGTAGGTGAGCAGGTTGTTATGGAGACTGAGGCAGCGCAGAGAGTAGAGTCTACAAACAGACATATTCAGACATGGCTGTGAATCATGGCTTTAGCTCAGGAGGCTAACACAGTCTTATGACACACAGGAGACCCAAGTTTTCTTTTAAAACAGTCAGTCACATGAGCGAGCTACTAACTTTCACATTATGTAAAGTCAGTGTTGGATGGCCCTCACCTGGTGAGTTGGGGCAGTACACTCTGTATCCGGTTGTCACAAAGGACCAAGTATCTGAGACCGTGAAGGTTGGCCAGCTCTGGGGGGATGGAGGTGATGAGGTTCCCACCCAAATAAAACATCTTCAGACTGCATCAGATCAGAGAAAATTGTTTTTCTTCATACTTGGAATGACAGGGAACATTGCTAAATTAACATACAGATGTAGGATCTTTATTTGAACCAGTTTTCTACAGCATAAAAATAATCCTGCAGCAACAGGAAATGTGATTATTATGTGGATTGTATATAATGCACAATGTTCAAAGATCAATAATGGCCAAACAGTTTGAGTCTAAATCCAGAAGAAGAATGTGGGTTCAAAGATCCCTGAGAACCAGCTGTATTGGACTGAGTGATCTGTTTGTTTTTGGAGAACCGCTGTGATAAGTTTACACACATGCACATTCTACACTCTTGAACACCTCCAGAACACCTGCCAACTTTCTCTGATAAAGCTGACAATAGAAGAAAGAGAGAGGAGATAGAGGGAGACTTAGCTAAGAATTTAACTCCAGTGTTTGACAATTGTATGTCAACGGAAGAGACAGAAGAAGAGAACAGATGATTGTAAAAGAACTCTGATTGTAAAACGTATTCTCTTTTTAGAGAGAGCGAGAGAGAGAGAGAGAGAGAGAGATCCTATGATAAAGGTCAAGAGGGGAGGCCTTATGATGCAAAGCACAGCTGCTAACTTAGCTACAATACAGTCTGAAACTGCTATAGGCTTTTGGGTGGTGTCCAATGGACCTTTTCATCCTGTCTTTATTCTATACATTATTCACTCTGTTACAAATCCTAAACCCCCATTTTCCTCTCACGGTGCCAGTTCCCCACTGTGGCAAGGCAATATGTCAAATGACCTGGTTTTGTAACATGGCACACAGCCAGCCAGACAGGCTAAGCCACACTGATGAGCCGACTCCAAAGATGTGTCAATGCAGCAACAAGATGGAGGAGACTATGGGCTCCTGTACCATCATGCAGGACATAATCAGGAACCACATGCTCATGTGAAACCTATCTGGGTGAATACAGCAACAATATTTTATACTAACTTACTTGCCCGTTATCTTAACCCTCACTATCTAGTTCCTGCATGCACACCATGAAATTACGGCTGCAGTTCTGGAGCCCCAGTCATTTCATTAAGACAGCAACAGAGCTAAATATCCTAGCCTACTACTGCATAATGGTTATTATGAGCATGCTATTATCAGGTAGGGCAGCAAGTAGCCTAGCAGTTAAAGAGTGTTGGGCCACTAACTGACAGGTCGCTGGTTCGAATCCCTGAGCTGACTAGTTGAATAATCTGCCGATGAGCCATTGAGCAAGGCACTAAACCCTAATTGCTCCTATGACTCGTTCTGGATAAGTGTTTGCTAAATGCCTAAAATGTAAATTATATTTGATAAGGGAAACATAACCTTGATATTGGGTAGTAGTGTGATGTTGTTCCCCTAGATTTCCCTTGTGTATGGGTGGTCCTCTGTAGCTCAGCTGGTAGAGCACGGCGCTTGTAACGCCAAGGTAGTGGGTTCGATCCCCGGGACCACCCATACACAAAAATGTATGCACGCACGACTGTAAGTCGCTTTGGATAAAAGCGTCTGCTAAATGGCATATTATTATTATTATAGATGATGCACCAAATTGCACACAAGGACAGTTCAAGTAGGCCAGGTCAAGAGGGGATGTTAATAAGTTAATAATAATGAAATGTGTTTTCTTTATTTAATTACAGCTGCATAGCTAATGTTATTTTTTGGTGTACAAACATTTTTATATATCTATATTGTAAATACACCTAATTGTAAAAGTTTTGTATATTTTGGTTTGGTCCATCGCGGGTTATCTGTACTTAGTACCCTATTATTGTTCTCTTTTGCCTGACCTTCAACTAGCAAGGTGCCCGAGAGCTGTGGCTGCACCAAGGGCTAACATATTGTGTGTTGTCTCTTCGTGTGCAGGTCGAATAAAAATGATCCAACCATCAGAATTCCAGTTGTGGCAGTGTCCTAATTAAAAGTACACAACGCAGAACGAACCACGCTACAATATTGCAATTTCTTTATTCACATTTGAGTGTCCCAAAGATGGGTTATTAGAAGCTAAGAGCTTAGAAGCTCACAAGCTTAAAGCTCATCATAAGTTTCAACAACCTCACTTCGTCATGCATAGCTGTATACAGATAGTTGTTTGTTAAATGTCCGCCTTTATATTAAGTGGCTATAAAACTTATGATTACATGGTAATTACATGGTTTACTGCCGTGTGGGTAGTTAGTTGCATTGTAACAAATACCGTTAGTCTACATTGTTAAAACTCTGTTACCGCTATGATGTATCCGTAGTCTATTTTACCTGGTAACATTTTCTATCTCTATGGGGATAGCTTTGAGTCTGTTACCCCCAAGAGACAGATATTTTAATCGCTGCAGTTTTAGAAACTGAATGGGCACCTCTTCAAATATGTTCCCACTGAAGTTCAATGTGTCTATCTGCATGGACCCAAATTCATTTGGGAACGAAAATTCGTTCAAACGTTTGTTCTTGGCTATGAGTGTTTTGAGGTTTGACAAACGTTGAATGTCCTCACAGAGAACCGTTAATCCATTGTTGCTTATATCCAGAACTTCCAGTTTGGAGAATAGACATACTGAAGTGGGAAACACTGTCAGTCGGTTGTTATACAGGTAGAGTTGTTGGGTCACTCCTCCGTTCGTCACCGACAGTGTCCAAATTTAAACTCTCCAGATTCAGATGGGACATGTCCAAAATGCAACCCCCCTGATCAACTGTTGCAAATAGCTCCATATTCAATTCCAATGCTATCCAGCTAGTTCAAACATATGAATGAATTACAATGTGATTTTAAAAAAGCGTAAGGTCTTTCAGTACTGATCACGACCGGATAAAGCCTCTTTATGCAGTCACACGACAGACATCACATGCACAGCTGTCACATTTGCACCAAATTGACATGTAGTCGGTGTTACAAGGCTGGTCAAGTGTTACAGTCTCCGCCCCCAGTTTAAATTAACCCGTGTATGCCTGCTTGCTCCCGTGCCACAGAATGTCTCCATGTCCAGATATCGAGCTTGCGCGCTCGTGTGGATGCTTTTCACATTGAAATACATGGTCAATTAACTTTGCAATTGGAAACCCCAGCTATCATTTCTGTTAGCCTACGAGGCCGGGGTGTTAAGCATATCCCAGTTTAGGTCATCAAGCAGTACGAACTCTGAGGATAGATGGGGGGAAATCAATTCTCATATGGTGTCCAGGGCACAGCTGGGGGCTGAGGGGGGTCTGTAGCAAGCGGACAACAGTGAGAGACTTATTTCTGGAAAGGTGGATTTTTAGAAGTAGGAGCTCAAACTGTTTGGGCACAGACCTGGATAGTATGATAGAGCTCTGCAGGCTATCTCTACAGTAGATTGCAACTCCATCATAAAATACATGTGAAATGATATAATGACCATTATAAACGGGGTGGTTCGAGCCCTGAATGCTGGCTGATTGGCTGAAAGCCATGGTGTGAGATCATATATCACGGGTATGACAAAACATTCATTTTTACTGTTCTAATTACGTTACTAACCAGTTTATAATAGCAATAAGGCACCTCAGGGGTTTGTGGTAGGGCTGTATCCAGGCACTCTGCTGTATCCAGGCATTCTGTTGTGCATAAGAACAGCACTTAGCCGTGAAATATTGGCCATAGACCACATCCCCTCCTGCCTTATTGCTTAAGTATCGAATAAACACACACACAGACACATTCAGTCAAATGTGTATCAATAACAATTTGCAGAACCATTCCAGTAGGTCTATTAAATGTATTTATTGACATGTATAAAGCTTGCATACCTTTTTGACAATATAGTAGTCTTAATAATCAACAGGGAGTAAATGTTTTACTAAAAGACTACTGTAACAGCGAACAAAAGTGAGCTGGTATTATTCTAAAATTGAGACAATAACACATAACAATGAAAATAAACACAGGTTTTTAACTTCAATTAGACCATACATGGTTTCATAGTGACAGCCATTGCTCTAAGAGAATGACAGCAGGATGTCCCATAGGTCTTAGTGAACATTTAAGGCACTGAATACCACACATTATAAAGACATTGAAGTCAAATATAAACATACAGGACATAGACAGTTCTAAACAAAGAAAGGAAAGCTCAAGTCCAAGCTGTGAACCTACTTTCTAAAAGTTACTACACATACTGTACTTCAGGTATCTTGCATTTGAACTTTGGTTTCAGTAATGCCATCTAAAATGTTTTTTAGAGGTTGTTTTGGCAGTTTTCCCAATCCTTGTGCCGAACAAAGTCATCCAATCAAAGCACCTATATCCTGAGAGACCGACATGCATCAGCTTCCAAAAGAAACATCAACGATCAAATGAATTGCAGTAATGTTGGCAAAGCATGCACAGATTATGTATGTCTCAGACGGACCAGACAATTGTGTATTTCAAACTAGTAGGAGGGACCCATAGCACTTGAGTACTTGTGTTATCAAATACTGTTATCCTGTTCATTACAAATCCAAAACTAAATTTCATCCACTCCATCAATATATTTTTCTAGGTAGTCCATGTCTGCAGCATCCTTGAAATATTTTACCCCGAACATTCTAGAATTGATCAATGTTATTGCTGGTTTTGAGAAGGAGACACAAGCGTTATCACAAACTCTCCTAGCAATACAGTACTGTCACTACAGTGATTCAAACAAGCACCATCTATGTGTTTTGGTAGCCTGGATCCATACTGAATTCTTCAGTTTCACTTCACAATCCAATTCAGTATCCAGGCTAGTGTTTTGGCATTAGATTCATTGTATGGAGTAATAACTCTACAACCCCATGATAGAAAAGCCATTTGTAAATAGATGGACAACATTACCTCATCAGTACGGACATGTAGCATACAGATTGAACCCTAGCATCATCACTTTACCTTGAAAAACTAGGAAACCCTGCACACATCTAATCATGGATTATTGTCATATTTTTGGTGCATAGACCATAAAATAGAGATCGAAAAAATATTATTGTCTTTCACTGCAAAGACTGAGTGCGGACCTTCCTCATTTTCCTTTTCCTAACAGATTGAACCCTGGCACCATCAGATATTATGGGTCAATGGGTTTTACTGTATATATGATATGAGTAGTGACACTGCCAGGCAAGTGCAATCACACTGTTGATGAATTTATAATGGCATTCAGGCAAATTTACAATTCAGCCATGTGTTCATCTTTGATGTGATTTACTGGCCCTATAAAATACCCAGGTGTCTGGAATAGCACCCTGTAAGGTCAATGCATTTGATAAGACTTTCTCGCTGAATTGCTTATCTCAATCCTCTGTGATGTGGTTGGTATGTGACGTGGCAACTATGAAGTCATTTTCTTCTAAAAGTAGTTATTTACAACTTGTGCTTTCTTTATAGCGCCAAGTCACAAACTCTAGTCTTTTCTACAGATGAGCTAATTTGACTGGCAGTGTTTGGCATCGAGAAACTAGCAGATAAAACAGAGCAAGGGAACACAGGGAAGTGAGGGCATAAATACACAGGTGAACAGTTAGACACAGGTGACACCAATAGGATAATAATTAGTCCAGACTGTGAGTGAGGAGGTGCCTAAGGTTGTCGGAGGATGACACCTAGTGGGTCGCTCCGGAACTGCGACCCCCTCCTGTAACACATGGGTCCCCAAATCTTTACAAAGTTCTACAGCTGCACCATCGAGAGCATCCTGACCGGTTGCATCACTTCGTGGTATAGCAACTGCTCGGCATCCAACCGTAAGGCGCTACAGAGGGTAGTGTGTACAGCCTAGTACATCACTGGGGCCAAGCTTCTTGCCATCCAGGACCTATATACTAGGCGGCGTCAGAGGAAGGGCCAAAAAAATGTCTAAAGACTCCAGTCACCCAAGTCATAGACTGTTCTCTCTGCTACCGCACGGCAAGCAGTACCAGAGCACCAAGTCTAGGTCCAAAAGGCTCCTTAACAGCTTCTACCCCCAAGCCATAAGACTGCTGAACAACTGATCAAATGGCCACCCGGACTATTTACATTGACACCCCACACTGAGCTAAGCACTAGTTCATTAGCAACATCATCTAACACTTACCCATGTAATTAAATACATTTCTGAAATAATGCCCCTAACGATGTGGTTACATCCACTTTGAAGAAAGTTTAGTTTTTACTGTGCTGTAGTACACATTAAAGGAGCGGTTTACTTTTTTTTAACAAAATCTTTTAACCATGTTTTTTGCGATTTCACTTGGTTTTGAGAAACGTACCCCACCAGCAATAGACTTCCTCATTGCTCATTCTGCAGTATGGGGGCCATGGATAAACATCAACAAAGGCTCCAAAAACACCCAAATACTTCCTTTCAGAAATGGCAAAGCTCTCAGTATAGTGATGCAGGTCTTTAGATGTTGTACACAGTAAAAATACTTTAAAGTACTACTTAAGTCGTTTTTTGGGGTATCTGTACATTACTTTACTATTTATATTTTTGACTACTTTTACTTTTACTCAAATCACATTTTTATTTGTCACATACACGTGTTTAGCAGATGTTAGTATGAAAAATGTATGCACTCACTATCTGTAAGTCGCTCTGGATAAGAGCGTCTGCTAAATGACGTAAATGTAAATGTTATAGCGGGTGTAGCGAAATGATTGTGCTTCTAGCTCCGACAGTGCAGTAATATCTAACAATTTCACAACATATACCCAATACACACAAAAAAGTAAGGAATGGGATTTAAGAATATATACATATATGGACAAGCAATGACAGAGCGGCATGGACTAAGATACAGAAGAATATTATAGAATAGAATGCAGTATATACATATGAGATGAGTAGTGCAAGATATGTAAACATTATTAAAGTGACTAGTGTTCCATTTCTTAAAGTGGCCAGTGATTTCAATAGGCAGCAGCAGCCTCTAATGTGCTAGTGATGGCTATTTAACAGTCTGATGGCCTTGAGATAGAAGCTGCTTTTCTTTCTCTCGGTCCCAGCTTTGATGCACCTGTATTGACCTCACCTTCTGGATGATAGCGGGGTGAAAAGGCAGTTGCTTGGGTGGTTGATGTCCTTGATTATCTTTTTGGCCTTCCTGTGACATCGGGTGCTGTATGTGTCTTGGAGGGCGGGTAGTTTGCCCCCGGTAATGCGTTCGGGCAGACCGCACCACCCTCTGGAGAGCCCTGCGGTTGTGGGCGGTGCAGTTGCCATACCAGGCGGTGATACAGCCCAACAGGATGCTCTCAATTGTGCATCTGTAAAAGTTTGTCAGGGTTTTAGGTGATAAGCCACATTTCTTCAGCCTCCTGAACTTGAAGAGGCTCTGTTGCGCCTTCTTCACCACACTGTCTGCGTGGGTGGACCATTTCAGTTTGTCGGTGATGTGTACGCCAAGGAACTTGAAGCTTTCCACCTTCTCCACTGCTGTCCCATCGATGTGGATAGGGGGGTGCACCCTCTGCTGTTTCCTGAAGTCCACGATCATCTCCTTTGTTTTGTTGATGTTGAGTGAGAGGTTATTTTCCTGGCACCACACTCCCAGAGCCCTCACCTCCTCCCTGTAGGCGGTCTCGTCATTGTTGGTAATCAAGCCTACTACTGTTGTGTTGTCTGCAAACTTGATGATTGAGTTGGAGCCGTGCTTGGCCACGCAGTCATGGGTGAACAGGGAGTACAGGAGGGGGCTGAGCACGCACCCTTGTGGGGCCCCAGTGTTGAGGATCAGCGAAGTGGAGATGT